GGGTTTTAGGGTTAAGGCTTTAAGGTGCTTAAGGGGTGTTAGGGTTTTAGATTTTAGGTTTTCTTAGCTTAGGGTTTAGGATTTAAGTTTTTAGGGTTTCCGAGATTTAAGGGATTTGGGCTCGTTCAAGGTTCAGGGAAGATTGTAATGACTGTCCCATTGGAGGGATTTTCTTTCGTTACTAACCCAAAGGGTCCATGTAGTTATATGGTATATACAAAGGCTTTAAAGTAGGTATATGGGAACCCCTTTGAGCCCTAAGTATATACCATATACCTACATGGACCCTTTGGGTAAGGGTGCTGACTGTTAGAGCGCGGAGTGTAGGCGTTACTTAGCCAACCCCCCTCTAGACTGCCCGCCTCAGGTTCTCCCTTAAGTAGAAAGTTGGGTGGGGAGGTAATATACGGAGGGTGGCCGGGAGAAGCCACAAGTTTTTCCAACTGTCCCGAACAGATTAATTTAGGGTTAAGGTTTAGGGTTTAGGGCTTAGATACCACCACCCCTTTCAAGAACTTCTGAATAACATGATTGTCCCCCAAGCTAGTCATTTTAAAGGGATGTTATACCCTGAATTAGAGAAGAAGTTTGAGAAGAAAGAAGTTGTTTTTTAAATTCGGCCTTGTGTAGCCCCTCAGCAAAGCCTCAAAATGTCACACAGTATGTCCACGGGACAAGAAACTCCGAAAGACACCACCGCAGTGAACCTACTGTTCTGTATCAGGGTTTGCTTACAATATCCCTAAACCCCAATCCCTAAAACCCCCTCCGCAACACCCAACGATGCAATCTGGGGTTCCAAAGTTTAATTTTGCCGCGTTCGGTTTCATATGCTTTTCGGAGTATTGGAAGCTCACTACAGATACGTAAGTAGGAGGGCAGTTTCCAAGCTACTTGAACACCGTTTTTCAGAAAGGTCTTCTTTGGCATGGAGCAAATACAGGGAACTTTAATCCTAATCCTCAACACCACTTCCTGCAGGATCCTTCTCAAAAAAGTGTTGTCTTTGACATCAACCAAATAGTCTTACACGTTTCCGTATGGGAGTCTATATGGACACCTATCATCAAGATAGACATGCCAGCCGTAATTTTCAATTATATTAACAACTGAATGGGCGTGACTGGACTTGAAAAGTACTGTAGGTACAAAGGGGCTCAAACCCATAACCAATTCGCAAGAAGGCCATTATTCTGAAACCTCTCTTGGACATCGAAGCAAGTATAAGCGCTTCTGGGCGCGCAGGGCAAAGGACATATGCGGGGACTGCAGGCCATGCTGTTTGCTGCATGATAGCTTCCCAAATCAAAGTGACCGCAATATAGTCCCCAATAAACTATATCATCCTTATTAGGATTTAGGGACCCTAAACCCTTAAATCCTAAACCCCCCCAAAACGGCACTCTTCATGTTGGGAAAACCTACGCCCTAAACCCTAAACCCTGGCAGCGCTTCAAGAGACAATCGGAGCAGACGAAGACTTCTTCGAGGGGCATCTACATTTTCATTCTGTCAGTGTTGGGACTTAAGGATTTAGGGTTTAAGGCTTAGTTGTCTTTGGTTTAGGGTATAGGGTTTAGGGTTTAGGGCTTAGTTGTCTTTGGTTTAGGGTTTAGGGCTTAGTTGTCTTGCCAGTTAAAACCTTCAACCCTTTCAGTAACATGCCAATGGGGAGACATATGCATCTGAGGTTACTTGAAGGGTCAGGAGGACTTAATAAGCATGTTGACAAAGGTGATAAGTAGGGCTCTAGAGGGGTTGGACGTATACCCTAAACCGTAAACCAAGAAATCCCTACACCCTAAACCCCACACCGTAAACCCCCAAACACTAACCCTTAAACTCCAAACCCTAAATCCTAACTAACCCCTAAACCCTAGACCCTAAGCCCTGCTAGTTTGCTTGGCCCTACAAGTTGGAAGGCGAATCTTAGACCCAAATTGGGGCTGCATGGTTTCTAAGGGTAGACCTGCGGACCCCGAAGAGGTGCCCTTAGCTATTTTTCGTGTTTTGAGTTTAGGCTCTGAGGTTTAGGGTTTAGGACCGCACAAGAGTGGGCTTCTACAGGTAGATTACGGTCCTGTACCAAGTATTAGGGGTAAAGCCTTTGAGGGATTCGGGTTGCAGGATCCTGGGGTCTATGGGTTTGACAGTATTCGTGTCTGGGGTCCTGTATATGGGTTAAGGGTTTAGGTTTTGAGTTTTGAGGACCCCCTAAACCCCAAACCCGAAACTCTAAACCCTAAACCCCAATCGCTTTGAGTTAAGAAGTCTTCCTCCAGTTTCAGGATACAGTCCCCCTTAAGTAGATAGAATGTGGTTCTGGGTATATTATAACAAGATCCCCATATACCGCCTATTCTATCTACTTAATTAAGTGGGACTATAACTTTAAACCCTAACCCTAAGCCCCATATACTAAACCCTAAACCCCATATTCTCTCTACCTAAGGGGGACTATAACCTAAATCTTAAACCCGAAACCCCATATTCTATCTACGTAAGGGGGACTATAGCCTCACGACTGCGAATATCTTCTAAACGCAGCCAGAAGCTTCTAGTGCCCTTCCCTTGCTCTTGTTTTTAATGGTTCTCAGTCGGGAATACGGAATTATCGTACAAAGGGTTTAGGGTTTAGGGTAGGGAATAAGGGAATCTTAGAGATAGGCACTTTACAGGGATTATAGTACTTATTTCCTTATTCCCTACTAAGAGCCAGTAAGTGAACCTCTACCTGCCTAACACTCCATGTTTCTCTCGTTGTGTTGGGAGCTTTTACCAGGATTTCGGACAACTCGGAGTGCGCAGAAGATGACGACTTGTGGGCGGAGGACACTGCTCATTTTCTTCGTTCCTTAGTAGTTGGGTAGGTAACCTTCAACCTTTGGGGGTATATGTAGTCCTATTATAATACGAAGGTCAACCTTTTTGGGGCTCAGGGAACTCAGCAACTAGGGATTCTTTGGGAGGGCATGGGGCTTAAGGTTAGGGGCTTGGGATGTAGCTGGGCAAATTAAAGCAATTTCACCCGATCTCACCCGTACTGGCTGACATGGTGGTTTTGTACAAGAAAGGCTAGAGATGGTCACAAACTTGCTTAGTTTGAGGGTGTGGGTTAAAATGGCCGGGCTGTACCCTAAACCCTAAACCCTAAACCCTACTCATGATATATGAAATGGATGTGGGGTTCAGGATTCAGGCCCCCAGACATAGCTGCCCTGGAGCTAAAATTGGGGTGATGCTTACAATGCTGGTGGTAAGTTATCATGCCCATTTATCTTTGGAGGTGAGAGGCGTTTAACGCCGGAAAATCCAATGGAAACTGGGATTATGAAGACGTTTTGCATGCAATTCTTTGCCCAGGCAGTGTACACCGACACGTTCCCAGCAACCCTGAACACCCTTAACCCAAAACCGCATAACTGCATCATCTGCAGCGCGGACCGCCGTGGTTTCCAGGCTGTTCATGCTCAATGCTGCTGACCACGCAGCTAAACCCAATACCCGACCCCTGGAGCACTGGGTTTGGGGTTTAGGCTGTAGGGTTTTGGGTGTAGGATTTAGGGTATAGGGTTGAGGGCTTAGGGTGTAGGGTTTAGGGTTTAGGGACCCCAGGCCGTAAAGTTGTCTTCTTTCTGGCTGTTGGGGTACTACCTAGTGAGTGAATGCGCGTTAGAAGGGTTTGAGTGTTTGCCTTAAAAGACTGCTTTGAACGGCGTAAGGGCAGGAGGGCTGATGCGAGGACCCTTTTGCTAAGTTGTCGGCCTGCTGGGAGGTCTTTATGCAAACCATGCAAGCAGGGATGTTTGTCGCCCTCGCTGTAAAGCATTCTACACCGGCGGACAGTGGAGAAAAGGTCCGATAAACACAATACTCTACGCCCTAAATACTCTAAACCCTAAACCCTAAATACTCTAAGCCCCAAATACCCTAAACCCTAAATACCCTAAACCCAAAGGCAGTGTCCTGGGCTGGTCGGGCACCATCAACTAGACTTGCTCATGCCATGTTCCCCAACCCTAAACCCTGAACCCTGAACCCTTTGGGGTTTAGGGCTTAGGGTTTAGGGTTTGGGGTTTAAGGTTTAGGGTCTATTTTGGACCTCCTGAGAGGATCTGGAAAGTAGAGCCCCAAAAAGGGTACCCTATATAACCCTATCGGGTAATTGCTAGGAATTTTTAAGGGGGATCTACGTTCTGGATCCTCCCCAGGGCCTGGGCTAGTGGGTAAAAATGATTAGAGATCCAGTGTCTACAGGGCTCCGAATCAGCCGAAAGGGTTTAGGGTTGAGGGTTTAGATTTAGGGTTTGGGGATTTCTTGTTAAGGCTCCATACAGCCCAATGTAGGTAATCTTTAAAGGCTTTAGGGCCGAAGGTAGGTATTATGTATTACATGGAATCCCTAGGCACATATGGGTGGTTGTCAAAATTATGGTCCCTTTTTGAGTACCCTAAATATTAGGTGCCGTATTATAACAGGGGCCCCAATAGGGACCATAATTTTGACAACCACCCATATATATCTATATACATATGCAGACTTAGATGCCCAGGGCATAGCTTGGAGCTGTGCAGGACTCCGACTATGGGATTTCAGATCGGCAACTTCAGGCGGCGGCTTTAGGTTTAGGGTTTAGGGTTTAGGCTTTAGGTTTCGGCATTGGAGCGTTGGGGCTTCGGTTGTTGGCGTCCCAATTTGTGGGAGACTTCCTGCGTCAATGTCAGTCCCTGAGATGTACTAATTTCTAGGATCCTCCTTGTACCTTCAATTGGGATTATATGGCC